CCTTCATTTTACCGATGTGGGACTTGGGATGAATCCCAACACCACCTCGTCCATAAGCCTGTTTCGATCGATAAGGCTCAGCTATAAGTTTGCACACTTCAATCGATTGCGCCTCTTTCTCCTTCAACAATTCTTTCTTCTTCTCCTCCTCTATACGAGTGCACCTTGCTAGCTCTGCCTTTAACAACTTAATCTCTTTTTCCCTCGCAGTGATTTGCTCCACTTCATGCTCCTTCTCTTTAAGTTGCCTTTTCAACATCGCAAATGCTCCTTGAGCTCGACACCCCATTCGCTCCCTCGCCCTCACCATAGTAACAAAAGCAATCATAGCTTCTTATTGTGCCATGTAAGACGTGAACACCCGTGCATTCACCATACACACTAGGGCTTGGCACCTTTCCACTTAGCTTATGGTACTCACCCACTTATTCTTCTAAAAGTCAACAATCTCCATTGACCAACTTTGCATCACTCGAGCAACATCCAACCCCTCAACTGGTCTTGCACTTTCTACCATATATGCCGATCAAACTCACCTAACCTCATCGCCACAAAACAACCGGTCGTCAGCTTCCCCACACTCTATAACAACCATACAATAGATATGAGAACACATGATCCAATCATCACACCTCTCCCTAAGGAACACCACAAGCCAACACCATCTTTCCAAAATCCTCACCTACTTCTGCAACTGTAGCGTCATCACCAAGATTGACTCACTGAATCACCCAATCAATGAACAATATGGGACCTTACCCCTTTTCTTCATTTCCCTTTGCCACATCAGAATCGGACATTATCTTTGGCTTTTCCTAACCCGTAACCACCCACACAATAGAATGCTCAGTCAAACTCACCACCTTCTAACAAAAATATTTGAATATATTTTTAATCAAATAATGCTACTATTTGTTAGTATATATATATATATATATTGTGCATGTTGTATAACTAATAACATCTTTAATGATCATATTTGTAATAGAAGTTTCAAATATAAAATCAATAATGAAAACACATGGCAGTACTGTCAAATAATTTGCATTGACCTTTGTAAAAAATATGCAATACTTACAATCGTTGATTTTAATAAATTATTCCTCCAAACTATTTATAAAATTATTTTGCAAAACTATTCTTTCCAAGCTCAAATATAACTAAAGTTAGCAAATTTATGCGTTAATTAAAAAATTAGTTAACATTATTTAGTTTTGTTAATTTTAATTAAATTTTTTGTTTTATATATTATCCTCATCAGAACTTGATTTTAAGAATACAAAATATTTATTTTAAATAAGATTTTAATTAATAAAGATATTTTAGACATATAACATTAAGTATAAAATGAGTGAAAATTTATTTTTATTTAAATATAAAATTTATGAAATTTATTTTGCTCGTATTATATTTAGAAATGAGTAATTTATATTTATTTCTTATTAAGTCAATACTCATTTGTTAAAATAAACTCAACTTCTTTGACTTACTTAGAGCTTGATGCATGTCTCGATCTATACATGCATTAGGCTAAATAATTTGAGTCTTGGTTGTGCAAAATATCTAGATTAATCCATATTACAAAATTTGATTTATTTTAAGAAAAAAATCAAACCAATCCACTTTGTGAGCTCAATTAAGTGTCTCGATTCATTTTTACAAAGTAAATCAGCTCAATTTGAATTATTATTTTTTTAAAAAGAATTGATTCAAATACGGGTATAAAGTGGTTAACCATGTCAATCTAGTTTTGAAAATTTTGATAAATATTTTTAAAAATCAAATTGACCCACTTTATAAAAAATAAACTAGTTAACCAATCCACTTTTATATATATAAAAAATTGATTCAATTCAGTTCAGTTTTAATTTTTAAAAAATATGATTCATCGACACCTCTAACCTCAACATTAGTATTAGACATAAGATGATTTGATCTGTAATAAAATTATAACAAATAACATATAAAATTGATTGATTTATGATGAAGTCTAATAATATTTTTTAATACAAATTGTTTTGTGAATGAAACATCACTATGTTAGACAATTGAGTTTTGTTAGTTAACTCGAGTTTCATTAGAGGGTGTTAGTATAATGAGAAAATCACCAAAAACTCAAAGAATTTTGCTAAAAGTATAAGTCAAATGATGAATAATTATGATTTGTTTGGATCAATTTATCTATATACACTTATAAGAGAGAAAACAAGAAGAAGAAATATAACGGATTTCCTATAAGTTAAAATTAGCTTATATACAATTTTTTAAAAAAAATATATCTTGTAAAAGTTACAACGAGTCAATTTTACAAATTAATTTATGCATAAATTAATTTTAATTTATAGAAAAATTTATTTAATTTTTCTTTCTTATTTTATTCCCTTACAAATGTTTATAAAGAAATTTATCCAAACATATCCTTAAAAATTGAGTCTTCATCTTAAAAAAAAATCATTTATTAAGACTTAAATCCAAAATTTTAATTAAAAAATTTAAGTTCAATTATACAATTGGTTCGGTTGGTGTATATTTAAATATTCAATAATGAGTGAGTAAAGTAAAAGAAAAAAAATGAATGTCATCCTTAAAATATTTCCCTCTCTCCAAATAGTTTCTAATGATTAAAATTTTATAAGCAATCCATTCAAATATTGTAAATCATGTTAGTTTCTTAACATATGCCAAATGAATGAATATTTGAATTGGACATAATGCATACAATCTTAGGGGTGTATTAGATTAGGATTTTCAAGGACTTTTTTAGTTTAAAAAAATCTTGCGGATTTTAAAAGACTTTGTAAGATTTTCATGACTTTTAAGACTTTGTAGGATTTTACAAGACTTTAAATCAATATTTTAATAGATTCTGCAAGACTTTTAAATCAGGATTTTAATGAATTCTGTAGGATTTTGTAGAATTTTCGTGGACTTTTGACATATGATAAGATTTCAAATTTTTTTCATACATTCAAATTTAAAGAGTCAAAGACAAAAATAACAAAAAATAACAATGTCTAAATAAATAATAGTAATAATAATAATAATAATAATAATAATTTTCTATAATATCTTATCCTCTTAAATAACATTCACCCGCATTCTCCATTTGAATTACTAAAATAATATATGTTGTAAACTAGTTATATAAATAATTATGGATAAGAGACAAAATCAGTAAAATTATATTATTATTTTTAGAAGCACATCAATCATACAAGATCAAATATATCTTGGCTATCCAAATAGATCAAATACCCCACCCATTGTAAAAAACATGTAAAAACAGAAATATAGAAACATAAGATAATTTTTATATTAAAAAAATCAGTTATTCGATACTGAGAAAATATTTAGATATATAAATTTTTTTATATATAAACGGAAGTATTTAGATATAGAGAATATATATATATATATATATATTAGTATTTTAGTTATATATTATATGATAATTTTTTAACAATATTTATAAATATAAATTATTCTAAAAAATTAGATACTACAATGTCTTATGTTAATTTTCTTTTTTAAAAATATAAAAAAATCCTAACTTCATAATATAAAAATTAAAAGAAAAATTCATAGTAAAAAAAATAAAATAATTGTTGAGTCATAAAAGGAGGAAGGATAAGAGTAACTAACTCAAGGGAAGGAGAGAACTCGTTATATATATATATATATATATTGTAGAGATCATGATATCAACTTCATCTTTCACCTTTCTCTTTTCTTGACGTATATTATAAAAAAATTATCATTTAAAATTTGAAATTTCAAGCATTTTTTTTGTATTATATAAAGGAACAAATTTAACTAAATAGAATAAAATAGAGTAAGTCAATTAAAGAGAACGACGAGAAAAATAGAGCAAGTCAATGACACTATCATTTACATATCAGAGTTTCACAAAATAGAAGAATGGAATGGAAACAATACTACAATATTATATATGAGCAATGAACAATAGTGCAGTATTATTAGCAGAGAAAAAATGGAGAAGACGGGAGTATAGAAAAAAAAAGATGAAAAACTCACTTGAAAATTCTTGAAGCACTGGAAAAGTCACTTCAAACAATCCTCCAAAATTCGATGAGTTTGGATGGGATTGTTTTATGAATTTGGTATTTATAGATAACACTAAAAAGTCATTCAAAATCCTTAGAACACAACAACCCTTTAAAATCCTTATATTTTTTAATACCAACGATTTGTTTTTAAGTTGTAAAAAATTTCAAATGAATACCAATGAATTTTAATGAACTCTTTAAAAAATCTTGAAAATCCAGATTGAATACCACTAAATTATTTTTAAATGACATAAAATCTGATTGAATACTAATGGATTTTTTTACTCAAAAAAGATCTTTTAAAATCCTATGAAATCCTAAACCAATACACCATTATTATTGTAATTTTGATAGATAAAATAATAATAAATATTTAATACTTAAAAGGTAACTTATATAATTTCATTTAAGTATTATTTAAGAAAAAAAAATAATAGTTGATGAACCAAATTGATGATTTACTATAAAAAAAAACTAATATAAAATAATTTCACTCATAGTACTGATAAAAAAAAAATATTAATTATAAATGAAAAAATAAATGAATATCGTACCCTAACTTAAAGAGGATTAAATGCTAAATAAAATTTATCTACTATATTCTCAACCACTTAAACAGGAAACCCTACAGTAGATTCCGTCGCATACATTTAATTTGATTTGGGTCCAAAAAGTGGCACAAAAATAGTCGTGGCGTGATCACAAATTTAAATTCAACCATTCAAGGCTTGACTAAACGAGATGCCGTTTCTTCCGAGACACGCACATCGTAACATAACTTTCCAAACCTTTGACAATCGACGACAACAACCCGAACCTGTGTACAGTGTACACGACACAAGCGAGCATAAACGGCACTGTAACTGGTTTAACAGTCATCAACATTTACAACACAGTTAAATTCCAAATCTCGTAACCTTTCTATATAAAAACCACGCTTATGACACAAACGTAGCATTATAGCAGTACCCATTAGACCAATTCCTCCTTTGACGAACTCTTCCAACATGAAGACTCGCACCTCTGCGAAAATCTCCGCAACATGGATTCCCATTTTCTCTGTGTTTTCCTTCATTCTGGGCATGCTCATCACAAGCAGGTCTCTCTCTCGCTAAAAGCTTCACTTTTGAGCTTCAAGTTGGAAACTTGGGTTTCTGGGTTTTGGTTTTTTTGAAAATTTTAACTTTATCGTCCGATCCTGGGAATTTCTCTTGCTGCAGGATGTGGGACCCACCTGAATCAAACGGGTTGCTTATTTCGCAGCATCAACGGGACCAACAACTTCAAGTGATCTCAGGGGACTGCGCTACCAAGAAGGTATGCTTCTATTTCTTGTTCAAATTGTTTCAAATTGTTTTGTTTTGATTTTTCATTTTTGAAATCTCCTTGCTTTTCTCCCTTCAGATGCAGCCAAAGGATGCAGTGAGCGAATTAGAGAAGACCCATGAGGCCATTCAGTGAGTGCCACCTGGAATGAATCTGTTTCAGTTTCTCTAGATTTGTTTGAAATTGGGGGTTATTTTTATTTTTTAAAATAATAATAATTGGTGTTTGTTTTAATTTCTTGGGAGGCGTGTCAGAGCTCTAGACAAGCAAGTTTCCGTGCTTCAGATGGAGTTAGCAGCAGCTAGGAATTCTCGTGAAAATGGGATCTTGGATTCAAATGCTTCATCCACCACCTCGGGGTCCTCCATGGAAGGTACTCCTAGGAAGAAGGCTTTTATAGTGATTGGCATAAACACAGCTTTCAGTAGCAGGAAGCGGCGTGATTCAGTTAGAGAGACTTGGATGCCTCAAGGTAAAAAAAAAAAGTGTTTCTTTGGAGTCAGCTTGGTCCTCCCCTTATAATGGCACACCCCTATTTTTAAGGGGATGATAATTCTAATTAGTTTCTAAAGTGTTATGGTTCTCTTTCACGTTTTGATCAGGTGAACAACTTCTTCAACTGGAACGAGAGAAGGGAATTGTTATCAGATTCATGATTGGCCACAGGTAATTCGGTTGAAGTCAGCTGCATGAAATTAAAAAGACAAAATTTGGTGTGAGTCAGGAGAGAATTATAATAACACCTTGAGAAAATAATGGAACCTTTTCAGTTAATATGATAACACAAAAAGATCGTTCCTGTTTGTTTGCCAGAACAAGGTTGTCTCTGTTAATACCACTTGTGTAACTGGTAGATAAAAAAATGGGCAGCTTTCAAATGGTCATGCATAACAACCAAATATTGGTTAGTAGAATCTTTACCATGGATTATTACGGCTCTTGAATGCTTACCTTAAAAAACCATGGTTCACCACAAAAGTGGCTTCTAATGTCAGTTGGATACCTCTGCAGCCCTTTGTTTTGTACACCCAAGTTAATCCATTGCTAGTTAGAGGGAGATGCTGCACTTGTATCTGGGGAGTGTAATAATCGAAGACTCTTGACAGCATACCTATTTAATGTTCTCTCTTCCTTTGAAGTTTGAATGCACACTAATATTGCATAATTTCTCTCTTAATATCAATACTCGTTTAAGATAATGACTTGATTTCTTTAGTCATTTTTTCTATTCCGTTTCCTTAATAGCCTGTACTGTGCCTAAAGTATAAACATTTTCAAATTTAGCTGTTAAAATGGTATTGGACCACTAGGGAGCCTGTTTTTAAGATATTGCGTTAATTAGAAAATGGTTTGACTATCCTAAGCTAGAGCTATGAAGTTAACTATGGGTGCTTATTGCACTACGATTTTCATGAAGTAGTTCAATTCTTCTCCACGAGTTTATCTTATGGCCTTGGAGGGTGTGGTGTATACTTTCTGTGTGATATGGAATGGGGATATGATAGTCACTTGGATGGATACAAGAAGTGTCCAACAGTGATGCTCCCGCAATTCAATTTAAAACATTCTAATTAACATGTATATTACCCTATCTGAAAGATGAAATATGCATATATGTGTTGCTACTTAATGGTACTAACATGGGTGATATTGCCGTTGTTGTCACAGTGCAACTTCCAACAGCATTCTAGACAGAGCTATTGATTCAGAAGAGGCCCAGCACAAAGACTTCCTTCGCCTAGTAAGGCAGATATTTGATTTTAATAAAAATAAAATTGTGTGAGAAAAACATTGTATAGTCTGGCAGGAGTGTGATATTTGATTCCAAATTATCTGTAGGAACACGTTGAAGGGTACCATGAGCTATCTGCAAAGACAAAAATTTTCTTTTCTACTGCAGTTGCAAAATGGGATGCTGATTTCTATGTCAAGGTGGATGATGATGTCCACGTCAATTTAGGTATAAGTATATGCTATTTTCTGATTCTTGTTTTCTTTCTTGTGTTTCCTTGCCATTTTTTCCTCCTCTATCCTATTTCTCTCCCTAATAAGATTTAATATTGTAACATATGCTGCTGTTTAGGTGTCCTGGCAACAACCCTTGCTCGTCATAGATCAAAACCCCGGGTCTACATTGGGTGTATGAAATCTGGACCTGTCCTTTCAAGAAAGTAAATCCACTGGACTTCTATGTGTGTGCATAAAATATTAGGAAAGAGGGTTCTCCTCTTCTATGCCCCTCATTGTGGCTTTGTTTTGTATTACAGGGATGTCAAATACCATGAACCTGAGTTTTGGAAGTTTGGCGAAGAGGGTAACAAATACTTTCGACATGCAACTGGGCAGATATATGCAATCTCTAAGGATCTGGCTACTTACATTTCCATCAACCAGTACGTATATGATTTTTCATGCAGAACTTACATGTGCCTTTTTCACTAGATAATTTATGCAGGAATAATCGAATCAGCCATTGTTTACTGTATTTGCTGCCAAAGATTTTTTTTTAATATGAAAGTAAGCCTTAAACTAGTTTTGTCTTGGTGCAGCATGATAGTTCATTAGTTCTGCATATTTTACTTAAAGCAAAATACTTATTTTGCATGATTTGATTAAAATAAGAAACCTTTTTTCATGACAACTTAAAATGTTCCTAATATGTAATCTCAGTTCGGTATCAGTCCATGTTTATATAACCAGTCAGAATCCTATATATTTATCATAGAATATTCTCTGGCATATAGAGATTTTATGTGGATCCTAATTATCTCTGCAGGCCGATTTTGCATAAATATGCTAATGAAGATGTCTCACTTGGTGCATGGTTCATTGGTCTTGAAGTTGAGCATATTGATGACCGCAATATGTGCTGTGGAACTCCTCCAGGTATATAACCTGATAATATTTAACGGTCAAACACTCTACTGCAATAAGTTCTGGCTCTTAGTACTAGTATTTGTGACTTTGTCTTGCTGTTTCTAATGACTGATTTCCCATACATTTGAAATTTTCAACAGTTGAAATCTCTTCTTGTATAGCTCCCATATCTCTCTCTTCAAGTTGTTCAAAAACACTATCATAAGAAAAAAAAAATGTAATAATTTTTAAAAAAAGTTTAAATTAGCTTAGGCATAAACTAGTTTTACCTTATGGAAAAACTTTTTCTTTGTACTTTTTTTATCTTAAAATTTAGAAGTACTTTTGAAGAAGTTTATTCAAATAATTCCTTGATAGAAGTTGCTTCAGATTGATAAGCTCGAAGAAGTCATTACTAAAATTTAAAGATGATCTGAAGTTCAACTAAGAATTTGTTTAAATATAAGTTTAAATTAAAGATCTTTTGAGAGTTTCTTTACTGAAAATAAAGATTTTTTTTTTGTTTGGCTGTGATTCTTATTTATTTACTTTTAATGTTTGCGTAGATTGTGAGTGGAAGGCGCAGGCAGGTAACATATGTGTTGCATCGTTTGATTGGAGCTGCAGTGGAATCTGCAAGTCAGTGGAGAAGATTAAATATGTGCACTCAAAGTGTGGTGAAGGGGATGGAGCTGTTTGGAGTGCTTTATTTTAGATCATTTCAAAGGAAGGTGGTTTTTTCTTGATGGGAGAGGGACTCATTATTTAACTGCAGCTGGAACAAAGGCAGTTTTCAGAATTGAGATTGAGCAAATTAATATAACACGAAAGATCTCTAAACTATTCAAAGCTGGTTGATCATTTTGGTGGAAGCTCAAGTTAGCTAGCAATTGCATGGATGTGGATTTGAGGGTACATATTTTGACTATACCTTCCAGCTAGTCTTGGTTTTTAGTGTGGGAGGTATGACAACTATTCTCGTTGTTGTTATGTAACAAGGCCTATTCTATTTTTATAATTTTAGTTTGTTCATTTTTTTTATTTTTTTTATTTTTTATTTTGGGGACAAGTTTGTTCATTTTATACCACTATTTTTGTTCATAGCTGGGCGAGATCGGCTATTATGCCCTTTGTAATGAAAAGCAATGTATTGATAGTTCTGCTTATGCGTTAAATGTGGTCCACTATTTTGATGTAATCAAAGGACAAACTTTAGAAACCGTAAATATTTATGTTTGATCATTTATTAATGATGATGGGCTTCAGAAAAATTATTTCCACCATAATAAATCTGAACCAAGAGTTAATCTCTGCAGCACTAATTTCTCTAAAGCAAAAATCTGGACCGTGCACTATCTTGATTTATGTGCAATTTTCAATGAAAGGTTGAGATTTTGCTGCATGGTTACTGAACGTGACTTAGCTGCAGAGGATCCCAATTCAATAAATCTCCAAGCCAGGGTCACCTGATTATGAGAAAGAAAAGCTAGAGAAGATATATATATATATCTCCAACTCTCCAAGCCAAAAATTTTATCCATGAATGATGACTATGACTGATCAATTTTTTAGAGACTAAAACATGAATTGACCAAAAATAAAAAATGCTTATGTGCCAACCACATGTTCGTCACGTTAGCAACACGTTGAACATGATGATCATTAGACAGCAAAGATGACTCGTCAAATGTTTAACAACAGTTCTAAATACAGACTTAAAGCAGAACTGAAAATTTTATGGTAGACTAGATCAATCAGATATTTTAAAGATTAATAGTAAACTCAACAAAAATGGAGAGGTTAAAAACATAACTAGTCCTTACACTTCTTTTGTACTTTTAGATAAGATTTACGAATACTTTCAAAGTACTTGCAAAAACTTCCAAAAATCATAACTACCAAAACTTTGAAAGGTAAAAGGAATATTATGAAAATGAATCTTTTACACTAATTATAATTTGTGATTACAAATATGACTATTATTATAATATTATCATGTAATAATTATATGGAAAAAAATTAGACGTAATATTTGGATATCATTAGTTTTTATCTTAAGTCAAATTACACTTTTAACCCCTATATTAATTAATATACAATTTTATCTAATTTTAATATTTTAATTTTATAAAATTTCTAGTTTTATTCTTCAATAAATGTTTATTAATAGTTAACATTACAATGTTAGTCATGATATAATATTAATTAAATAATATAATAATTAATATTTAATAACATTTATGTTAAATTTAATTTTTAACTTTACTTTTCCATAAAATAAAAATTAAAAATACAATTTTTATATATTATTAAATGTTAATTATAATATCATCTAATTAATGTCATGTTTTATCATGATTAAAATTATGATGTGTAAAAAAATATGATTTCAACGGTGAACAAATAAAAATTCAGAAAAACTTAAAATTATAAATTTTATAAAATTGAGAAAGTAAAACTGTGAAATAAAAATTTAGAATTCAAATTTGTGAATCGAATATTATAAAAAAAATAAAAATACAATTTATCTTTATCAAATTTATTTGCATATTGAATATTCATGTTAAATGTCAACATGTATTAATAAGTGCTTAGCTGAAGTAAAATTTACTTCAAAATTTTCAAAGTTTCATGTTGAATAGTGTGAATGAAAAAACAATTATGCTTAAATAAAAGACTTTACCGAAAGTAATCAATTATGTTTTAAGAAGTAAAAGTTGTTATTAAGTAAATCCGATGAATATTTCGAAGATAATCTATAGTTTTTTTTTTCTAAACTTAAACTTATTTATTATAATTAACATTCATTAGAAGAAGTTATTTAAATTTGAATATTATAATAATTAAGAGGGGAAACTGGAAAGTATGAAATAAAAAAGTTTGGATTTATGTGAAAATGAGATGGTAATTGTGTTGGATCGCTTCCACCGTCTTGGAGCTGTCAACGAGGCGGCGGAGAATGGAAAACGCCGACGTTTTCTTGGGCTTACACGACTTCCTCGAGCGCATGCGGCAACCCTCCGCCGCTGAATTCGTCAAAGCCATCAAAAGGTTTTTCCGTCTTCGGATTTCTCTCAGCTCTTTACTTATGCTTTACATCGCGATCACGATTTAGGTTAGGAACGAACCCTAACTAACGGAGTGAGATTTTCGCAGTTTTATCGTTTCGTTTTCGAACAATGCTCCCGATCCTGATAGGGACAGTGCCGCGGTTCAAGCGTTTCTTGCCAAAATGGAAGCGGATTTCAAGGCTCATCCCCTTTGGGCTGGTTGCTCTGAGGAGGAGCTCGAAAGTGCCGGTGAAGTCAGTTTCTGCTTAACTCATAGCATCCTCTTTCTACTCTTTGCTATTCATAAATTAAGATATTTCAATTTTTACACTAGCTAATCGATTACCTTACTTTGAACTTCCTGATCTGACTTATATTATATTTATAGGTTTTTGTTTTAAAATAATGTTGAAACTGAACTTTTATAAAGGACTACGAAGATCTAAAGTTTTATGAATAAAAACTAGAGGACACACTGGACAGAAAGATGAAATGTTAAGGGAGACCAATATTAGTGTAGCACTAATTAGTGAATTGCAGTTCTGGCCTTCTGGGATTGTGCATGATAATCTGAGATGATTCTACCATTTTTCATTCATAAAACTGTGGAATTTGATTGAGATGTTCATGAGTACCGGAAAACTAGTGGAAATGAACTAATCTGAATCCTCATCTTACGGCCTGTTTGTTAGTGTTGGCATCTGCATGCTCTTTATACAGTCTATTAATTTCAATGTAGGATCTACTATCTTGTAGAAATTTAGTTGGGATGATCATTTAATTCTGATACCTTATGTTTTATCATAAAAGACAACTCTTACAAGAAAATATTTTGCTAGTATACTATACACTAATCAATTTCTCAGTCTCTGTTGGTTCTCATTTTTCTACTTAGCCTCTTTAACATTTTTTCTTTTGTATTCCTTAGCATCGTCAGGAATACTCATGCATTTATTCTATTATTTAATTGCTTGTGGGTGAGTATTGGCTTGCAAACATGGTTTGCTCTGGACGTCTACCTCACTTAAGTCTTAATAACTGGGGCTTTAGGGATGCGAGGTCCAATATTATAGAGAAAACCAGAATGAAATAAAAATAATTCAATTTCTGTACACTAGAATTTCACTTGATGTAAATAGTGAGTGAGATGCAAAATTTATGTAAAACTTGTTAGCCAATGTATAGATGGTCGTTATCCTCCAGTTTAAATATTTGGCAAATACAACATAGATTGCCCTGAATGTCTAACCTAACATTAACCCTGGGATTTATATTTGATGGTGCACAATATGTATATTCTAGTTGACACAAGTATTTTTGGATAAGAAGCAAGCAGGTTTGAGGCACATGTATTGTTGTAGCTTACTAGTAGCTGATCTAGTCACTCAATCTGCCAACCTAAACACCCATCCCTACCATTTTTATTATGAAAGTAGTTTGAGGAAAGCCCATTCTTTTTTGTTTAATTAAACCGTGGTGGTTATAAACAAGTTAAATATGTTTCAATAATAATTCATGTAATTTTTCTGTATACAACATGAATTCTTTCAAATAGAGGATTGAATGTTAGCTCCTTCACCTATGGAATTTATTACTCAGAAAACATTGTTCTATATTCTTCTAGTAAAACTCTGTTAGTATATAGTGCTTTCTGCTTTCCATATTGTCTGATTGCTTTACCACTTAAGTTTCATTTATATACAGGGGCTTGAGAAGTATGTTATGACAAAGTTATTTGCTCGTGTATTTGCTTCACTTCCAGATGATGTAAAACTTGATGACCAACTTTCTGAGAAGATGGCTTTAGTTCAACAATTTATTCGACCTGAAAATTTGGATATCAAGCCAGTATTTCAGAATGAATCATCGTGGTTGGTGAGTTGCATTCAAAACACCATTTTTACTTGGCTCTTTGTACAGAATTATGTCAGCTAAGTTCATTTTCTTCATGTTAACAACCTTTTATCACTCTAAAAGGGACACAAAGTGTAATTTATGTTTAATGAATTCTTCTATTGCCTACCATTGTTGCTACAACATCAATCTCCAATGCTGCCCTGTTCTTTTCATGTCACTTATAGTTTGGCTTTGAATGCAATGATAAAATTTTTGGTGTGGCTCATAAACCAGTTGTCAAACTTATTGAAAAATACATGACTAAATTCTACGCTTGAATCCCACACAACCACCCATATTTTGACATGGGACATAAGTTCCTTAGACAATGTGGTCTAAGTTCATATTATGCAGATCCTTATTCTTATAATTTAGTTTTAGCACATTATAAATGCAGATATATACTTTTTCTGCATTTCACTTGTTTGTTACATTTTTTTTTATCATTTCCTAATGCCTTTAGTTTGATCAGTTCTTGTGTATGTCTCACATTTGATTTTGTTAGATAGCTGTTAGTTGGCAAATTGTTAGTAATTAGAGAATTAGTTTGTTGGTTTGTTAATTGCTATTAGTTTGTTGGTCTGAGATAGAAAATAATTGAGGGTTGCTGTTAGGAACAAACTGCTATCACTATGGCTAAATTAAGGGTAAGAGAAAAAGAAAATAAAACTATAAAATAAATGCTTGATTTTCGTTGATTGATTGATTTTCAAAGAGGAATACATTTATATATCCCTAAATCTTAATTGATGCTAATCAATGGATAATTATCCATGTGTCAACATCCTATTATTGTATGAGAAATAACAATAAAAGCAATATAAATTATAGGCTAAATTGCACTTTTGATATCCCTTATAATGTTCAATCCACAATTTTGGTCTTTCAATTTTTAATTCCACAATGGTTTAATTATTCTTTTGATTTCTATAGTTTCATGAACTTTACCTTTTAATCCCTATAGATAGAAGCATTCTATTTTAGTTCTTATACATATCATTTTTGTTTCTTTTTAGTCCTTATAGAATAATAAATGTCACCTTTTAATCTCTAGCAATATACAACGGGGGACCAAAAGGAAACAAAAATGGTATGTATAGGGACTAAAATGAAATGTTAACTATAGGGACTAATAGATAAAGTTCATGAAACCGTAGGTACCAAGAGGGTAATTAAATCTTCCATAAATTTAGTTCCCCAATCTTATAAATTCTGCAATTTTGATCTCACTACTGAGTGTCCATCTAGTGGCTATTAAAATTATAATGTTGGTCATGATCTAACATTAAGTAGATGACTATTAAAACTATGGGGATGACTGATATTTTACATGTTAGAATACAAACTGAATTGTATATACTACACATATAAATACTCAAAAAACCACAAAATACCCAAGACTAAAGACATTCTTAGTAAATAATAAGTCAGTTTACACACTCAATCACCATTAATCTAGAGGCAATAAGAACACAGTAACAAGGTTATCAATAACGGATAACGGTCTATGGCAGTAAGCCAAAAATCTGCTATAAACATATGGCGGATGGCGTGGCGGACAAAAATAATATATATATATATTGAAAAAAAAACCAAAAATTAAAAAAACAGACTTTTAGGATGCATGACTTTAGTGTTGGGTGCTTACTGCTTCCCATTGTGCTATAAGTGAAACAAAATTGGGAACAACATTATAGGTTTAATATAGAAAACAATATAGCAGACTATGATAATGAAATTCTAAAATACAGATAACTAAATTCCAAAATTTTGAAAAACCAAGAACAAAAACATTGAACAGATGCAGAACAAGAACAGTCACACAAACTAAGAGAGAGAGAGAGAGAGAGAGAGAGGGAGAGAGAAAGAGATGATGAACATCTGAAGAAATGAAAAATAGATGAAAAAAACAAAGAAAAAGAAAGAAATGGAAGGAAGAAGAAAAAACAAATAGAAAATAAAAAAGAACTCTTGCAGGTCGTTGGATTTGTTGGCCGGAAAACTTTCTGGAGCTCAGGCTGCTATGGTTCACGTCTCCGAGAGGCTGTTGGCCTAAGAAGGCTCACCGTAGTTGTTTGTTCACAATTTAGGAGCTTCACAAGAGAAAAGATGAGAAAAGAAAAAGAGGATGAGGAGTATTTCCACCATGAGCACCATGAAGCCATGGCCATGGCAGACGCCGCTATATAACGGGAAATAACGGATAGCGAATGTTGGAGGGGTTAGAAAACGCCATGTTATACCTTTATGGTGGCGCCATAATAGTTATTTGATAACATTGACAGTGTTCTACCGTCATTATATATATATATATATATATATTAAAAACACAACCAAAAAAAAAAAGAGAGAGAGAGAGAGAGAAAGAGATGATGAACATCTGAAGAAATGAAAAATAGATGGAAAAAACAGAAAAATAAAGAAATGGAAGGAAGAAGAAAAAACAAAGAGAAAACAAAAAGAACTTTTATGGGTCACTGGATTTGTTGGCCGGAAAACTTTATGGAGCTTAGGCCGCTATGGTTTAGGTCGCTGGAGGCTGGTGGCCTAAGAAGGCTCACCATGGTTGTTTGTTCGCAATTTAGGAGCTTCACAAGAGAAAAGATGAGAAAAAAAAAGAAGAAAAGAGGATGAGGAGGAATTCCGCCATGAAGCCATGGCCATGGCGGATATAGCTTATAGCGGGTGCCATCCACCATGGCGGATATGGCGGATGCCGCTATATATCAGGAAATAATGGATAGCAAATGGCGGAGGGATTAAAAAACGCCACATTATACCTTTATGGCAGCGCCATAACGGTTATTTGATAACATTCAGTAACAGAGTCAAAAATGAAAGCTTCAGGTGACATTGATTGAAAAAGAACATAACAAACTCGATAAAATTTAGCAGACTGAACTGTAAGTGTAGAGGAAGAAGAAAGAACTGAACATAAAATAAAGTCTTATAAAGTGTTAAGGAACAGAACTAAAAACAGGTAGCTTTTTGTGATACATTTTGCCCAAATATAATCCAAACAACAGTGTTCCAGGGGTAGAAATGGGTTGTTACAGGCTATATCATGTAGCACCCCAATGGCACATGATTAGTTGCTATTTTGTCCACAATTGACAACTGCTGTTTTTTGGATCTCATAGTTGTCCAGGGCTGCTCTGCTTTTCGATTGCACCGCTTTAGTGCGCTATTGACTGCTATGTTTGTAAATATAGTTTGTTAATTGCTGGCAGAAACAGTGGAAGAAATCTCCTAATTTGGGTACTTGTGTTTTTACTATGTTTTGTGGCTACTAAAAAATACATTTTTGACTTGTTCATGGTATTTCGGATATACTCCTTTTTCCTATAAAATCTTATATATTGTATCATTCTTATGGTGGCAGCTTGCACAGAAAGAATTACAGAAGATCAACATGTACAAGGCACCCAGGGACAAACTTGTCTGTATTTTGAATTGTTGCAAGGTTATTAGTAACTTGCTGATTAATGCTTCACTTGCTTCCCAAGAGAATCCTTTTGGAGCTGATGAATTTCTTCCTGTGCTTATTTATGTAACCATAAAGGTAATCTCAATGTTTTATCATAAACAGATACATGCATAATTTGGAAGTAGAACTAATTTGGCTTGATAGAAAGGTGTATCACCTGCACTTTCTATAAAATTATGTGTATGACTTATGAATGTGCATTCCTATATTTAGTACTTCTGTTGTTCTATTATGCTATTTTGCTTTTTTTTTTCTCACTTAAGAACTTCACCTATACAAATAAAGCCTGTAATTCTTTGATGTTATTTAAAGTCAATTGTGACTTATTTCACAAGACAATATTTGGCGTGGTTGTTGAAATATCAACTTGCATGCACTGGTCCAGTCATCATGGCATGATCATATTGCCCATAACTACCATTATTCTTTGCTTTAAAGAACTCAACCCTTTGGGGTTGAGCTATGTGGCATATTTTCCTGAAATTTTTCCTATTAGTTATTTGATTTTAGTTTCTCAAAACTGAAGAATGATGAAGCTAGACAGAGAAGTCTGTGAGAGACTTAATATACAGACTGCAATTGTATATTATGTTCGTGCATCTTAAAATGATGGAATTTATCATTTATATATATTATGGCTTGCCAGAAATTAGAAAAAGAAATGTTAATTATGAACAACTATATATTCTCATAAACTCTATTATTAAGTGCCATTCTAATATACTCGATTCTACAATTTAACAATGCAGGCAAACCCCCCACAACTGCACTCAAATCTACTGTACATACAACGGTTTAGACATCAATCTCGACTGGTTGCAGAAGCAGCATATTATTTTACAAACATGCTATCTGCTGAGTCGTTCATTTCAAGCATCGATGCCAAAGCCATTTCAATGGATGAAGCTGAGTTTGAGAGAAACATGGAATTTGCTCGTGCTATGCTTTCGGGCATTTCAGCTGATACGCAAGATCCTGGCTCACCTTATCAGAATAACGGACAACTTCCAAGAGCAGAACCCACCAAGCACAAAAGTAAAGCTTTGAATAATAATAAGGACACTGCACTACAAACTCCATCATCTGTTGCAAAATCAGATATCAAGAAAGTGACTTCTGCAGATGAATTATTGATCACAAAAGTTCCATCCCTCTCGGATTTGGAGAATAAAGGGGCAAGTATGATTTTGAAGGAGGATAAGTTGAATGAAGTTTTTGGGGAGTTTCCATATTTATTTGCTAGTGTAGGTGACCTAACAGTAGGTGATGTTGAAGACCTGCTAAATAATTACAAACAACTTGTTTTCAAGTATGTCTCGCTTTCCATGGGTTTAGGCATCTCTCCTACATCGAATCCACCATCAAATCCCCATAACATCGCTGAAGAAGATCACGCTGTAACCACAAATCCCCAAAACAACTCTGAAGAAGATCATGCCGAAACTACAATAGATTCTTCAGATGGTGGACCTCTGGATGCAACAGAGTATAGTTCTGATAAAGTTTCACTTATTGAGGAGAAAAAAATTGAATCTGATCCGCCACGGGATGAGCCAGTTGCTCCTGAGAGTGATGCTCCCTCTTAACTAATCGGAACTAGCTTCAACCGTTTTCTCCCCCCACCCATACAACCCCATTTTTTCATCCTTTTTGTGTAAAATTATTTTATGTTGTCCGTTGTGCGGTAGCTACTCTCCTTCCTTAAGTTAGGGATGGCTATACCATGACCACTATGCCCTCTGTAATATTGTTCTTAAATAGATTTTAGAACTGCAACAAATAGAAATTCTACGTTTGGTTTTGCGATGGAAAAAATAATGCGTAGATGCAAATCTGGTTTTGTTTGATTGACCCCGTGTACGTTGAAAATTGTTGATACTGATATTAGCCAGGTGGGATATGTATTAATATACTCCTTACCTCGTTTATGCAAGATTTGTTGGAATATTCAATATGAAAACGCAACATAAATGATGATTCTGTCTTTCTCATCATGGGATTGATGTTTGGTTAATGTCTCTAAGCTGAGGTTTCACCATTTGATCATGGTCTTCTATAATTGCAATCGTATTATATTGAGCTCCCAAATGCCTCATAAATGAGCTATATGTTGGATTGGGAAAAGTTGAATCCGGAGGGGGGACATGTCGAAAATGTTTATACGACTAATGTTAGTTTCTCCAAAAACAAATATTTTTAATTAATAAACCTATTTTATTTTTTCTTCTAAAGTTTAGGAGCTTTTAATATGTCTAGTACTCTCTCTTGGGTTTAGTAGCAAGAAATGGATGGGCTGTTGATTTATTAAATTATTTAATTTTCTTCATTTTGTGGTCTACATTTCGTTTTCTCAATAGCAAAACTACAAACCACGTGAAGAGATGGAAATTGGGCCTTCAGAGCTGGAAACTCTTGCACCGACTAGATCTAACCCAATCTCCTATGAGTCTATGACAGAAAAAACAAGAAATAAAATAATGAGTGAAAGGACATAATGCATATCCTGTTCTATTTTCATTTCCAAGTTGTAACTGAAGGGATCTTGATTGGAAATTTGGAGTAGATACGTGTAATCCTGCCCACCATCAAGAAAATAGCGTATGCTTCATTTGACTACGCTGGATACCACCATTGCCTTGTCTCTTTCTCTTATATTTTTATGATAAGTTTTATTCCCTTAATAATGCCTGCTATTATATAAGCTATGCCTGCCTCTTTGCAAACCACATGCATATTAACTAATAGCTGTGAGCAAATTGTGTGTAAGATTCTCCAATAAATAATCATATTTATTCCTATAGTTGAGTTTCACTGTTTTATGATCTGGTTCTGGGTCAAATAAACATCTTCTGACTTATCAAGAAACAATGTCAGGCATACAGCATATCAATCTGCAGCTAAAAGCTTCTTCTAATTCTAACAGCACGCCAAAAGAATTTCTTCGGTAAACGAGAAATTAATTGGTCACTCTGAATAATAATTTATCATGTACGTTTAGTGTGGCAGGGAGATCTCAGTTTAAAGACTTATATGTCCTCTTCTTTAAAGACAATCTTTGCTAATAGCTATGTTTAGTTTATGAGTAGGTTCACTTTCACTAGCAGGTTACATGCCTGTTTCACTTTACTATTGTACTACTTTTTTGTTCTCTTCGTTTCCCTTTATTTTGGGACACAATCTATCAGGTGTTTGGTCTCTTGACACCTTCAATTTCTCAATTCCAAAAGCATGGTAGTTATGATTTTAGATTGATAACAGAGAAAGTTGATTGGAAAAGCAATTTCTCTTGCTTCTCTTGGAAGTTATTCAAACATGATAATACAAAGCAAAGTATTATGAGGCAGGAAAGTGACATGATCACATGACCAAACTAACATTGATATGAAAGTGTGTGAAACAAAACAACTACCAAGGATCTGCTGAGTGTGCCTCCAATTTCCCCCAATTCTAAGTTCCCCGTTACGTCTGTTCTGTACTCCGTTTAATGTTGTGTTGTGTGTGAAGATTACATATTTTGTGAAATAATCAAAATAGTGGATATAAATAGAGAATAAGATATAAATGTACACATAATTTTGTTTCTCCATCGCTATTAACGCCAAATATTTTAAGTACAATTTTAGAACTTCTATTGGACTGAATTTTAGAACCTTACTATGTAGGAATTAAATTATTCCGTTTTAATATGAAAGGATCTATAGTTTTTGTAATAAGTCTAAATATTACCTCCCTTCACAAAAGCCACTAAAGCAAGATTTATGGAATGGGAATTCGGAAGTTATATGATACAAAATAAATAATTAGAATTAGTGTAAAAAAACTTAAAGCTTCTTTACTTTTTTTAGCATAAAAAGTATGCTTATATTTTATAATACAGCCTAAAACCAACCATGATTCCATGAGATATCGAAGATTCAAAAGTGAGGGATCACGTGCCTCGCACATGTAGAATTGATGACATGTCGGCCGCAAACAAATGCATCAAGTCATCAACCAAAGTTCCCATCAAATTTCTTTCCACGTGATTGGTTCCCCCATTTTAATTTTTTTTTTTTACAGAATTCTTTTTAGTTTAATTTGTTCTATTATGATCTTCGATGTTTTTGAAAAGTAAATTGATAAATTAGTTGTTGAGAAATTAATAACTTATCGTTTCGAAAGCAATATATGTAATGGCTTATTTACATTTTACCTTTTGTAAAGTGTTTATTCCTTTGAATACATTATATTACCAATCTTCGGAGCTTCATAAAATTGAATAAATGTTTTATTTTTTCCATCTCTACAATAATTCTTTTAATTGCTTAAAAGTATGACAATAATATTTCCGCTGTCCTTTATATAAGAAATAAATACATACAATTTCTTTTTATAATAATAAGAAATAAATATCTATTTTAAGATGTATTAATTATTTTTTTTATATTTTTATGCAAATAGATATATTTATTGATCTATTAAGAATACAAGTTGTACTCATCGTTTAAAAAAGTTATTTATTAAATTATGTGTAGTGTCATTTAATGTTATCACTATTTAAGTCAATCAATTCAAAGAATATTTTTGAAATTTAATTTAATTCTATGACATTATTAATGAAAATTAATCATCTTAACTATTTGTTTTTATTTTGATAAATTATTTATTTATAATTTTAAAAATAAAAAAAATAACATACTATTAAAATAATAATCCAAAAGTTGTTTGATATTGGCAACAATGTTGTGAGTAGATGGAGGACTATGAAGATAGTGAGGAGTCTAGATCTCTCACATGTATTCCTTGCAACTGTATGATAACAATTTCTCACCCTACAATATATCCAACACCCCACACAACACAAATCAAGTTACTCAAATAATTAAAATTAATTAGTATAATAATTTGGTCATTGAATTTGTCTAATGATTTAGAAATTAATACCCAAAAATACAACTTATCTTTTGTTTCATGCAAAAGAATATTGGGATAAACCTATTACTTCACACAATCAAAATATTTTCATTTGAGTTGAGATGATATGTGCATTTTTATGTTAAAATCAAATCAATCCAATATGTTATACAAACAAGTAGGGTTAATTGGTCAAAACAACATAAATATTATTTTTAAATTTGCTAAAAGGTTGTAAATAAAAATTAAAAATAAGTAATTGTAGAAAATATAAATAATAGAAAAAAATGTATTTTTGTCTCTATATCTTTTGTCAAACTTGATTTTGGTCCATGTACTTTCATATGGATGAGATTAGTCCTCAAATTGCTTAATGTAATATAATAAAGAAGGAAATACTTTTGCAACATAGATGTGTGTAACATACTAGCATGGATGCAAAGTTTAATAATATTCTTATGGTCTGGATCATGATTTTTCGTCAAAGAGACAATGATGCTACTCAACATACAATGTAATAAACTAAAAGTACTCTCACTGCTCATCCACAGTAGGATCTAACAAAAGAATTATATATTCAATACTATGAAGGTTGTTCGATATTATTCAAAATTTAGCAAAATGTTTATAAACAAATTATCATTATGAATTAAGTCATATTGTATATTAGAACGCAGAGCAATATGAATTTACTGTCGTTGTTTAACTGGTAACTAGGATTTTTATTTCACAAATGACGAATTACTATACTCACACACATATATATATATATATATAATTATTTTATTTTTCTCTAATTATTTTACCCTTATATATACTATAATACATATATCTATATAATATGAATATATTAATCATAGGTAATTATAGTATGTTTTTTCATAGGTAGTAGTCGGTTCATTAAATGTAATAATTATGACGGGTCGTTACACCACATGTGTTTTAATCTTATTCACAACATTCATCTCTTTTTTGCTAGAATGATGATTTGGAGTGGTATCATATTTTTTTGTGAAGCCAACCAAGTAGTCAATAAGTTGACTAATTATGAGAGGGTTTAATTTTGTTTATGTCTTTTATTTTTTAAATTGATGTAAGTTCTACTTTATTTTTTGTATAGATCTTAATTGAGTTTTATTGGGGTGTTGCCCCTTTTTCACAAAAAAAAAGTAATTATTGATGTAAAAAAAATTAATTATTTTAGTAGCTTGATATATGATTATAAGTGGAACATTTAATGTAATTTATTGTGAGTATCGGAAGGATTGTAGAGAAATACCCGTCATAAAATATCTTAATGTGATAAAAAAAAAAGATATTGCTAAAAGAAGTACTAAAAATGTCAAATAAGAGAGCATTGAATTTATGAAAACTAAGGAAAACAAGCCACTATGCGTTTTTTTATTTTTTAAAAATAAAAATAAAAATAAAATAATAATAGAATAATAAGCTACTCAAAAGTAAGTTTACATGAAGTTGTGAAACTGAGGAGAAAGAAAAAAAATAAAAGAGATAGTTATAAAAGTAAAATAATCTAAAATTATGTACACCAAAATAGAATATTTCTTTTATTATTTATATTTTTTTATTATTAGTTTAGATAAATGAGTAAAAATAAATTATGAAGAAAAAAATCAAATAAGCACAATTTTTTTAGCTAGAAGTAGAAAGTTAAATTCTACTTGAAATAGTGTTTTAAAAGAAAAGCTGTAAACCACTACAAATAAAGTTACTTTATTTATCTAACAAATTTATTTTACTTAAACAAACTTCTTGGTCAATAGAATAAAGTTGAGTTAACTGAAAAGGATAGTCAAACACATTACTGTGCTATATTGTAATCCAATATTAATACTTTATTTTTATGAATTTTCAAAAATTGTTATAAATAATTATACTATGTATAATACCATAAATGTATTAAACAGATATGAATATAAAATTATAGAACAATATAAAACATGTAATACTAATGCATTTTTTTTTTCTTGTCATGAGGTATCTTTACTGTTTACACACAATCATTTTACCTCATTTTTTTTAATGAAAACAACAAAATTTAAATATCAAATTTTTCTATATTACATCAACTCTTATTATTAGACCGATCTTAATAATTTATTATTTTATCTAATTAGTGAACAATTAAAAGTTAATCTGTTATATTAGATATAATGATTGATTTTAATTTAATATGATAGAAAAAAATGTGTAATAATATACCTTTAACCTATGTCCTAATATATTTATCTCGACCTCTTCTTTTTTTAACCATTATATTAACCCTAATAATCACAAAATCTATGAGTAATTTAAGTTTGAGTGTATATACATATTTTATTATTTAAGAACAGGAAATAAGTGCCACGTTTTGCTTGTGTGAGTAATGAGGAATGTGATGAGAAGGTAGGACCACCCGCAAAACACGCGAATCAGATTACCACAATTTGACTGTGAAACTGAAACCTCAAGTCATATCTAAGATGATCTGCACTTAATGTTCAATTTTAATGCAACAGTTATTGAAATTCAAGTTTAATGATTTTAATATGTGACTGTATTTACCGTATAACTTTTTACTACAATAAATGTCTCTTTATTTTACTACTATCATTTAAATTAGCTGTTTTCTTTTATCTATATTTAAATTCTCTAATTTTAAAAAGTTTGAAAATCATGTAAATTAATATTTTATCATGTAAAATTCACAAACTAAATATTTATTATATATAATTAAAATTTATAATAAATTATATATACAAATAAATATTATATTTAAATATATAATTTATATTTAGAATTTGTATAAATACATATTCTAAACATATAAATTATATTTAAGATATAAGATGAATAATTTATATTGTAATATAAAATTATTTTTAACTAATATTTTAGCTTATATAATGCACAAGTTAAAATTTAAAATAAATTATATTTATAAATAAATATTATGTTTGAATATATAAATTATATATAAAATTTAAATAAATAAATATTTTAGATATATAAATCATATTTGAGAATTATGATAAATAATTTATATTATAATATAATATTAAATTTAATTTATTGACAATTTATTTTAAATATTAAATTTAATTATAAATAATTATGATAAATAAAAATCAAATTATATATGAAATTAAAGAATTTTTAAAAATCTCATTATCAAAGAAAAATCTCTAAAAGTTGTAACGTAGTTAGTAAACTAGAACGGGGTGTTCCCAGATTGGAATGGGTCGTTTCAAACTACTAAACAAGAGTGATTTAGTAGCTCAGAACGAGTCGGTCCCAAACTGGAACAAACCGTTCCAAACTACTAAATAGGCCTATGAATCTTAGACTGGAACAGGCCGTTCCAAAATGGTCATTGTGAGTTAAATTCAACTCTGGAACGGGCCGTTCCGATTTTAGAATGGGTCGTTCTAGACGTGCCAAAACGGGCCGTTCTGTTTCAAAACGGTCCGTTCTGCATGTGAATTTTACACATGATGAAGGAGCCTAGAACGGGCGTTCCAGATTTGAAACGGGCCGTTCTGGCCACTTCAGACTTCTATAAATAGAGGTTGTGCAGTTGAGGAGAAGGAGAGGTTTTTAGAGAGAAGTTTTAGAGAGAAGGACTCTGGACTAGGAAGCTTATTGCTTTGGGTGGATTGAAGTCCCAGGTTGAGCTTCAGAAAGGAAATTCCACTTCTTCTCAGTTCTTGGCTATTGTGAGCCAATCTTCAGGTAAGGAAAGCTAGATTGTATGTTGTTTGGTTGTATGTGAGTTTAGGAACTCATATGGAGTTATATAATTACATTAAGATGTATGATGAGTAGAAAGTGAAATGAAGAGATGTATGTTGAGTATAATGAAGTTGTTTACAAGTTGTGTGTTGATCTATGATATTGTTGAAACATGTTGAAATTAAGTTGATAAAGTTGTTATATGTTATGTATGGACATGTTTATGTTGTGAAATATGATGAGATGATATAGTTGAAAGTTGTGAAGTGCATGATGATAATATTGTGAGTTGTGAGAAGCATGATGTGAAGTGTGTAGATGTGTGTGATTTATATAGATGTTATTAGTAGACTATGTTGTTAAGCTGTTAGAGAAGAGTTGTATGTTGCTATAAAGTTGTATGTTGTGCCATGTGTTGAAAAGATATTATTTTATGATGATTGAGTTGTAAATTATGAGTTGAACTAATAAGTTGTTGAGTTGATTATGCTTTTTAAAGTTGAAATGAGATGTTGTGTTGTTAAAATGTGTTGTTAAACAGCATTGATGAGTTGTTGTGCTGATATACCATGTTGTTTAAGTTGAAAGTTGATTGAGATGATGAGTTGAAAAGTTGTACGTTGTTTAAGTTGTTGAGTTGAGTTGTGCTGCTGAGTTGTAAGCTGATTAAGTTGTGATGATGAGTTTTTGATCACTAGGACTAGGGGAGATGTTTTCGAAGTTGTTCATCTCATTGTGTGGATTGAGATAGTTGTGGTGCTCTAAGAGCCCAATTTGTTGAAAAACCCTCCTTGGGAAGTTGTCCTTTAGAGTGGACGTTGTGTTGTTCTCCTCAGGACTTAGTTGATCCCGTGTGTGGGCAAGGTCGAGGCACACATGTATAAAGCGACCACGGTATAGGGACCAGGCCGAGCTATACCGATTACAAGCGGTCAGATGTTTAATGTTGTAAAGTTATGGTGCCTATTGTTGTAAAGTTGAACAGTTGGGGACATATGGTAAAGATATATGTCCTATGTTGAGATACATAGTACTAAGGTGATAAGCTGAAAGTTGTTTTAAAGTTGGATCTCTTAGTATTGTGTGGGCGGCATGGAAGTAGTCGATCCATGTCATGGTTGAATGACCAATTTGAGTAAGGTATCTAGTTAGAGATGTAGTCTTTGACTAGGTACTGGAGGGTGCGTGGTACTTGGAGGACAGTGGGTGGGCTAACTCCATATGTGGATTGGTGATGCTAGCCAAGGTCGTGGTAGGCTCATACCTAAACCCTTCTGTCCTGATAGTAGTACTGGACCTCCGAGTCTAGGTGGCACACCTGAGCAATCGCCTATTGTTGTCTATACCTGGTTCTCTTCGAAGTTCCTAACGATGTCCTATACCTGACCTGGTTGAGATAGGTCAATCGCTGCATTCGGTAGGGTTTATGCCACCTAGACTGCTTAACCTCAATTGTTGGAGATCTTTGAGTTGAAATGTGTGACGACGCATAAGTTGTTGATGAGTTGATTTGTTGTTGATATGAGTTGTATATCTTTTGTTGTGTTGTTATGTTGTAAGTTGCTTTTAAAGATGTGTTGTTGAGAGATGTGTAATACATGTGTTGGTTGTTGTTGTGATGAATATGATAGCTATTCCAGTGGTTTGTACAATAGTTACGTTGAAGTGTTGATACAATGTTGATATGTGAAATCAAGTTGAAATGATGTTAAGATGTATAATATATATGTTGTTTGTCTTATGTGTCGAATGCGAAGATGATTATATAGTTGTTGTATTATATATTAAATTATTATGAGTTGTTTATTGTCTCTAGCTTACCCTTGCATGTTTCCATGTGGTTTGGACTGCGATGATCATACGTTATATGGGAGCAGGGCAAGGATAGACTGGGAGATAGTTGCTAGAGGCCACAGGAGGTGCCTGGAGATGAATATTTTTTTTGTAGACTACCTTATAGTAACATATTTTGGTTATATATAACTAGTTGTTGTTGGTTGCTTTATTAGCAACTTGTGTTGTAAATATTTTATTATACTATTCTAGTATATATTTTCTAGTAGTGTATAGTGTTGTTTCGTAGTGTGACGGTCATGGCGGGTCATTACAAAAGTCCTCTAGTGCAAAATAATTATTTGTATTTTATATTTAAACATTAATACTTTAAATGTACTTAATAAATATAGCATTATATTTAATATTATTGACTCAAAATAACAAAGTAACAATCATCTTATGATAAAATAACCAATTAAAGAATAATTTTTTATTTTATTTAATATAAAAACTTAGGATACTCTTCTGTATAATTTTAATATAGTAATTTTCGATAAAAGCTATCTATCTATATCTATATATAATCTTTCTTTAACTAATGTTCCAAAGACACGAAACCCTTAAATTATACTCCTATTAAATAAAATATACTACTCATTTAAATGTTAAATTAAAAATAGAAATTAATTTATTACATTTCAAATTCTACTTTGTATTTATTGTTGATTTCCTAATGCTCGGTGGGAAGACCGAACTATTAGCTCATTGGTAAACGTAGCTCTCCTCATAATACGTGTCACCATTACTGAGATTATGAAAACGTATTGAATTACAAAAATCAGAAATTAGGTTGCAAACACCGAGAATCTTTATTACATGTTGTGTTTGAATTTTCTTTATGAATTGAACTGCAGCAGCAAGTAACATCAGTAGTAATCATTCCAAATTTTCCGTGAGTTTTGGTCGAAAGGATGATCACAAATCTGCGTTGTACTCAACTTACTTTCATTTTACAAACCATTCCACGTTTGAGAGTACTTAGTCAGCAAAATAATATTAACCTATTATCCAAGTATATCCTAATACTAATAGGTTCCAAGTCAAAAAAAAGCATGCATTAGGTAATTACCTATAGTGGACCATAAAGGGAGACAAAGGGTAGCTGAGCCTATGATTTTATTTTACCCCTATCCTATTCAATATTCATAGCTAGCGTGTGTCCCTTCTCTTCTCTTCTCCCATTATCATTTATAAGCTGGTTAGGATTAGGGCTTAGGATTCAGATCTCAAATGCAAGCTGGAATATTAAAGAGTTTAATGAGAGAGACAAAAGACCATCTTGTGCTAAACTCCAAACAAAACCAATATACAATTCCAGAGTGGTCCTGTCCCCTTTGATGCGTGTACCACTCTAATCTTCCATGAGGCTCCTTCTTTGCAATGATCCCTTTTATTCTACTTTGTCTTCTTCTTCTTCTTCAATTCTTTGTGTAGTATTTGTTTACTCGAGTAAAAGGGTCACTAAAATACATATTTGACAAGCTCAAACTCTCAGACCCAAAGACCTGGCCAAAGCCTTGTGCTTTGACACTTTCTTACTCTCACTTTCATCTTCACTCCCTAGGAAACCAAAACCATCCTCAACTCTCTTTTTATTTCTACATATATCTTAGGTGTTGGTCCTCTAAGAAGCAAGATGGTGAATGAAAACCAACACCATCAGTTATACTATCAAAAGAGCACATTCCTTCCAATGCTTTGTTCACGGCCTTCGATCAAAGAAGTGACTCTTCCACGGCTGAGAGACCAATCTAGTTCCTCTGGCAACGACCCTTTGTCCCCAAGAATCAGTTGCATGGGTCAGGTGAAGAGAAACAACAAGATAGCCACCTCACACAGACTCACTTTCACAACCAAAACTAACACAAACACTACTTCTTCCCCACTTGTCAAATACAAATACTCCAAGCTCAAGAAACTCTTCTCTGGCAAAAACTTCATCATTACCACCCCCAATACAACCACTTCCACCACCACAATCTCAACCTGTGGATCAAGAAAACCAGTGGCCAAACACCAAAGAAATGAGAATAGTAACAATGTTGTTTGCATAAGCATTGAGGAAATGGATCCTCCTTTGCCAGTGGTCAAAAAATTGGAAGATGCAAAGGAGGTGGATAGTCTCTGGAAAAGAAGATCAGGTACAGCAAGGCCTGCACTAAAAAATTTGCAGCTTCATCAGATTCATCACCCAAGGATTTCTCTTCAGCCTCCAACTGTTTGAAGCAACAGATCCACATTTTTTTTAATTATTTTTTAACCAGATTGTTACGTTGCGTACATCAGATAGATACAATGTAAAGGGTTCCCTTTTTTTCTTTATCTTTTTGATTTTCTTGGCTTCAGATTCGCTAGTATTGTTGCTTGATTTCTTGAGGGCATCTCACATGGCGGCGATGCATTGCAGAGCATCACGGTCATGTTTGTGTGAGAGATATCAGTAAATTGGTCAAAGTCAAACTGTCCAAAATTTAATGCGTTTTCAAAAATTATAAGTATTTTTTTAAAATTTAATCAAATTTCAAACTTAGGCTTGTGTATATATTTACCAAAATTTTAAAAATAATGTGAAAGTAATATCAAGCTTAGACACACGTCACAATTATTGCTAATAAATTAAATCAATAGTATTAAAATTAGTTTTACTTGGTTTCAAAAATAAGCACACCTCATCGTATAAAAGAAAAAATAAACGCACCTCGATCTTTCTTGACTTGAACGAGTAGAAAAGAGACTCCGGATACATTTCCTTTAAGTCTTTATTCATTTATAGTAATTTTTATCAATTTCGGGTATAATTAAACAAAAATTTACTAAAAACAAATAAAACTTCTTTTTTAAATAAACTAAGTACAATTATATATTTTATATTAAAATATTAAAAAAAAACTTGAAATTATTAATTAAACTTAAAAATTGTGTTAACTGATGTGATTAGTGGGTCACATCATAACTTATTCTAATGATAAAGTTACTTAAAAACTTAAAATTAGCGTAACATGTTTATTATCTCACATCTTTATACATATTTTTTTGTTAAAAAACAAAATTAGAAATTAGTTCTTATATAAGAGGCATTCTCTTATAAGTCAGCCTGTTCCAACTGAAGCTATGAGAACCCGTTCTCTTGCTATCTGTTAAAAACTAAAGTTGGAAATGGTCTTGGAGACCATTTCTTCTCTAAAAAAAATGACAATAACGAACTTGCATTGTGCACATAAAAATACTTTTTGATAACTCCTTGTAATGGTCAACATTGAACAAACATTGATAACGTAACAATAACATAATATTAATACAGGGCATATTTCTTTTTTATGCCCTTAAATTTATTTATTTTTTGTATGCTTATACAGGACATATTATTAAAGCCAGAGGGTCACTGTTCTATTGAATTGAAATTAAGGACGGTCGTTTGTCTAGTCTGGACTTTGGTCAGTTTGATGAATCCCGCGCCAATGCAAAATTTGTGCAAACCCTTTAGGTTTTGTTTGGTAAGACAAAAGCAAAAAGAAAAAAGAAAAAAAGAAAAAAGAAAAAAGAAGAAGGAATATATTAGGGGGAAAAAAAGATTAAAGGACTATCATTTACCCTTTTATTTATTCCTTCTTAATTTTCCGAAAAAGGGAGGGATGGGAAATTATAAGAGCCATATATTATCCATTCTTCCTAATTTTACTATCTCCTTCACATCAAACAAAAGACAATTTTTCATTCTTTCTCTTTCTTTCGTTGTCTCTCAAAATTTCCATACCAAGCGCAATATTTGAATAAAGGCTTGTCATGTACGACCATGGTGGGAATAGAAGTCAACATTCTACATTGTGAAAGCGAAATACGTGTAAGTAAATCCCATGAAAATTAAGGGGAAATGATAAGATTAACTAATGATTTGTGAAGCTGGAGAGTTGTTCAAGTCAACAACATTAGGCCATAAGCATGAACAGTATTTAATTAATGGACAAATACGATCAGCTGGTGAAGGAAAAACTCAATTTAAATATTGCCGATAATAAAAAAAAAACAATATGATTGAATATATCCCATTATGGGTTTAAGACTTTAAGTAATCGTTGAAAATAGGAGTGGGCAAAAAAAACTGAACTGAACTGAACTGAACTGTACTATAAAAAACTGAACTGTTTGTAAAAAAATTGAACTGAACTGTTTAAAAAAAACTGAATTGAACTGAACTGTTGGAAAGTTAACTATAATGAACTACAAAACTGAACTGAATTATAAAAATTGAACTATTTTTATAAAAGGATAAAAATTAAATGTGTTTAACATGTTATGTCTTAATAGATTAACTCGATAGTCTAATAACTAAAACTTTAGAAGAAAAAAAGTGATAAAAAAAATTGAATCAATTTTGTCAAACCTAACGAATCAATTGAGCTATGTTGGACTACTTATTTTTAGGCTCAAAAAATTCACTGAGTTTTTTTGACTTAATTTTATATTTTTTTTCTTTGAAAAATTTAAATAAAATGGAAAATAAAGTAAAGTTGACAAATGTGTCCTATTTGATAGATCAATGAGTCAAAATTGTTCAATTCAAAATACCATAATAGTTCAGTGCAGTTTAAATTGCAGTTCAGTTCAAGTTTGTATAGTATAGTATAGTTCAGTTCAGTGACACAAAAAAATAGTTCAGTTCAGTTCGTCTGAACTAATATTTAGTTTAGTTCAGTTCATAAAAACTACTTTTAAGTTCAGTATAGTTTTTATAAGTTCAGTTTAGTTCAATTTATTTTGCCCACCCCTAGTTGAAAATTGAGACAGCTAAAAACAAGTGCAGAGAAATATGGGGGCATGAGAAACTGTGTACTTACCTTAAGTTGACAAAACTAAACTTATAATCTCTTGAATAGTTTTTTTCTTTTCAAATTGTTTTATACCCCACTATCACAAGAAAGTCCAAACCAACAATATTTTATATAAGTAATTAACAATGAAGACAGAAATACATAAATGTAAGAGTTATGATATTTTGCACTCTTTTCCTTACATTCTTCACTTCATATTTTTTTCTTAATGTGTTATCACGAATTAAAATTTATGAAAAATTATAAAACTATGAAAGTTATATTTATAATTTAATAAACTTCACTTATAGTTTTCTAATTTTCAATTAATTTTATCTAAAAATATAAAATTAATAAAGAGAGAGTTAAAGTGTGGCTAATACTTTGATTAATGACTTGAGTAGAAAATAGTTTTTTTTTTTTTTTTACTTATGAAACTTGTAGCGAAGCAAAGAAAAATGTAAAATAAAATAAAATAAAATTGGCTTGTACCAAGTCATTATGTAAATCCTCACAAGCAAGGGTATCTATCATTTTACTTGCCTCTCTAGATATATGGTGCACCGAGCAATACCACTTGACTTACAATCTTCTTTATCTCCCAAAGGATGTCACCATACTTGTGTAAATAAATAGAGTCCATGTTTAAATCGTTAAGAAAGTTAGCGACGTTTTAATTGTCGATTTTGCAAATAATTTCACGAAGAATATAGCCCGAAGCCTGATTTAAACCATGTCTCATGTAACATCACACTAAAATGAGAGTAATATAAGGTTGTGTGAGTGAATGGTGACTTAGAAAGGATCAAATAATAATACTTATAATAATAAAATGTATTTACTTTTTAATAGTTTTTTACTTAAAAAATTTATAATTAAGTATGTTTGACTTAAAGTATTTTAAGTATAGATAATCTTCACATAAATTTTTTTAAAAAGTGAAAATAAAATATGTTAAAAAGTCTTATATTGATTTGTAAAATCAATCATTAACCCTAAAACCAACTCGACATCTCAAAAAGGGTTATCTATGAAGAGTTTTGATTGGTAAAAAATTTTGATCAATGAAAAATTGAGTAAAGTGTTATAGAGTACAATCATTGAGACCAAATATAGAGGAGTGTTATAAAATGTATCAAAGCAAATTCTCCCTCTTTATATGGTGTGACTCAAGGATAAATCAAGTGAAAATTGGTGGATTTCTAACATTTTAAACACACTATAAAGAGAGAATATCAAAAGTTGTACAAGTATGAACTTATACAATTAAAATAAATTCAAATGAATTAGATAATAATACAATACCAATGAGATGCATATATTTTTGATAATTCATCACTTAAAACTTCTTAATTAAAAATATTTGACTTGGAATAATTTATAAATAAATCATCATGTAAAACGTTTTCTAAAATGTGAGTGAAAATAACATATAGTAAAATATTGTTTTATTTATAAGAATGATTATTAATTCTAAAAGCAACTAGCCATCTTGAAAGGACTACCCATATAAAGTGTTCTCATTAACAAAAAATATAAGAGTAAAATGTCGCTTTAAAACATTATGAAATACATTCCTTAATACTTTACATCTCAACTTCAGTGTTTCAGCCAAAATATTATCTCGAGCCCCATGTTCATGTAAAGCCCAAAGAGCCTTACATGGAGAAAAAAAAAATAGTTTAAACACTTTAATGAGTTTAATTCATGTAAATCTTGGAGGAAAAAAATAAACGAATTCAAGATTCTTAAATGGAAATTACGTCTTTCCTTTTTTTTTCTCAACTCCATCAATCCAAACCCATAAGTTTCCTCTAATTCCTCGTTTTCTATCTCTTTCCTTTCAATTTCCTTCTTTATCCATTATATATTACTGTCATGTGTAGTTCAAATCCACAAACAATAATTTACTTGATGAATGCCCTTAATTTTAATTTAGCTATACACGCAGAGGTTCATAGAAGGATCTTGCAGATAAAAAGATAATGGTTAACCGACAATAAAAAAAAATGAAAGGATCAAATTATCGTTAACTACATTATAATATCAGGGAATTCAGTAGTCACAAGAATCATCATAATAGAAATGAAGTATAACGGGGGGAATACAATTTTAGGATGTGGAAGATATAATTTATATGCTCGGTGGATCTGATGCCGAGCACGTTCCCTTTCAGAATTACTACAACTGTCATGAAAATATGTACATCAACTTTACAGAAAAACAGGTGATTCCCTGATCTTCCCTTGTATGATTACAAGGAGTGCTTCCGTTTGGTCCTTCCCGCCAGTCTCAATAAAACGGAATGCATGCCCTTCTAATACAAGTAAATGCAAGAAATGCTCATCCACTGTACAGTTTACTCTCATAAGGAATGTACAACAATGCTAACAAAACTTGCCCCCGCCAGAGCAGATAGCAACATTCTGCAACAATTCAGTGACCAGAACCCTATCTCTACATTTTGCCATTCTCATATAAAACTCTCCCCCCACGAGCAAAATTGCATGGCATCGAATACTTTGGATGTGAGCCTCGAGGGCTAAATAAAGAACCAGTCTGGGATCCAACACTCTACCTGTCATGCTCCCCTGGTCCACTAGCACATACATCCTCGTTAGAGTGCTTGTCATTTGACAGGCAATCAGCATGAACATATGCATATCCTTTAGGTAGCATTGAATTCTTCATAGATGCTTCATCTGACGTCATAACAAGCTCTTTTCCAAATGTCTCGGCATGCTGCAATTGCAAATAATCACAAACTCATCAAACCACAATCTACCCACAAACATTCTAGATATCTCACTGACAAAAATGAGCAAAAAGAAATTTAGGTATTAAAGTCTTATCAATACTCACCTTTCTAGATTTGGATCTCCATCCACCCTCCTCCGAAATATTACGTGATACAGCAGCTCTATGAGGAATCTTCTTGCCAGAAAATTGCGTTCTTTCTGGAATCTTGTGGTTATAGTGACTTTGAGAGGTTGAGCAGTCGTCATCCAGTTTTGGGTCTGTGTCCATAGAAATGGCAACTCTGACACGGTGCTTAGCAGAAACTGAACTGTCCACAGTAACATCATCTGATCTTTGGAGTGGTTCACTGCATGATCTGTATCCCTCTGTGTTCCCTTTAAGGGACGTTGTAGCTGATTCTGAACTACCATCTGGAAGGATGAAAGGGCTATGAACCAGAATAGACCTAGCAACATGATCTCTTTTAAAGGCAAGTATGTCATGTGAACATAGTACCAATTCCCGCTGCAAATGTCCACGAGAACAGATGTTAGTAATCAAAATGGTTATGCAAGACAGCCAAGAGAATGAAAATCCAGACATCAGAATCTACAACCTAACCTAATTGTCATCCATAATACAGTGCCGAATGGAGAAAAAACAATTGGGCCTTGATTTTCTCGTGTACTATAAGAATGACATTCTTATGACAGATTTCATTACCTTTATTTTTTCACGTTTGACAATTCTTTCACAAAGGAGACGTAATCTCTCTAATTCAACCTGTTTCAAAAACATAGAATCAAGTTATTTAATAAACTTCAAAAGAACGCCACATCAATTACAACTAGCAGACTTCAAAACATAAGTGATTTCATGCACAACTAAGATACTTGCTCCTTTTACATACATTACAACTTGTATATATAAAATACATGCAAGAAAAAAACATTTTTCATATATCAAGTTATGGTTGGTAATGATGGGTAGTTATTTTCAAGGGAAGAACGCAAACCAAGCTTATGACTACCCATCATTACCAACCAAAACCGAGGAGATTGTTTGAGGTCATAAAGAGACCTTCACAATTTACAACTTGCAGATGGGGGCCTTGAATTCAATTTTTATGTTCCAAGCTTGGTGCATATAATTTGTATGCACTAGCTTGAGGGGGAGTGTTAGAATAGCTTGTTTAGGAAGCCTCTTAACATTTAAATATTTTGCTGTATTTCTCTGACTGTATTTTTCCTTGGTGTAACAGCTTAGGCTTTTAGCCTCTGCAGCTTTTGTATTTCCAAAATATTCATATATAATAGAAATATTCAGATCAGTGTAGTAACACTGTTTTTGCCAATCTGTCTCAACATTCAAGTAACCTAACAGAAACTGTTACAGATTTCAGTGTGCACAAGCCAGATAATTAATCCTTCTTCCATATATGAACATTTTCAACATTGCACCCCCACCAATTCACGACTCCTTATATTGGATTTATAACATAACAGTTGGGAAAGTAGAAGAAACCAAAATTTAGTAGAGATATGTGAATGGAGATTTTGATCAGACAAAAATGCTAGGGATACTTTCATTCTATTCATTTCTAGATATCAAAACAGAGCCTTAATGAATGGAAGGGAAACGCACAACTACTTATATATCAAGTATAAAACAAGACATTTCTTTAATGCCAAGTACTTTCATGATCAACCACCTAGTCATTTTTTAGGAAGCTGTCCCTGTATCCTAAGCCCACAACAATCATTCGACAAGATACTTCCAACCCATAAAATTTTTCAATGCCCTCACTAAGGAGAAACTCAGCAATCTCATTACTTGGTTTGAGTCAGATTAAAAGATACAACAAATGACACCACCATTACACCATATTTTGGCTGACCTGCCAATCCAAAATTAAGACCTAGCCACCATAAACTTTATCCAATAGAATTTAGACAGGTCAATATTTTAAGCAAACTTAAAAATCTACAAAAAAATATATATATATAAAATCATGATAATATAGGAAGCAGGTAAAATATCAGAAGTGGTCTCACCCTAATTTGCCTGATACTTTTTAACTCTTCAATTCCATGCTTTTGAGTTTCAGCCTGAAAAATGAGAAGCACAAACTTAAGATACCATTTTAGGTAGACCAACAAATGAAATTTTATTACAAGAGACATCAACCTTTGTCTTCTGCTCCAAACTATGTTTTTCACAATAAGCTTTGTGTTGAGCCTTGCCACCAGCAGTCCTCACATTCATGTACAAACCAGCGCTTCTAGCACAGGATGGATGGAATGTGGTCTGACAATGGCCATAGCAACACTGCATTAACCATGTAAACATTTAGTTGTCAATCAGAAATGATAATTCCAAAAACTTGTTGATTGAAATACGGATACAGAAGAAAATTCATTTTTGATGTTATCTTCACCTTCATGCATACACCATGCTTGCGGTGGCAGATACAACAAATGTCAACTCCTTTTGACACAGTTTCCTGGCATCAACAATGTACACAGGTGTTAGAAAAGATAGGTAAATACAATATTTTCAAAGTAGACAAGCAAGAGCAAAGAAATTGGAATTCCATATCGGTTTAATCAAATGCACATACCATTCCTTCAACAGCATCTATTTGTCCTCTTCTGAACGTAGACTCAAAAACCCACTAGTACAAAGTGGAAATTAAAGTTAACTAAGGCAAACTTGGGTATTAAAGGAAGGAAGAACAATCCTAAAGAAATCAAAGGAGAATAATTAACCTCAGCACAGAAGGCATGGACCCATTGACCATCAGAAGACTTCCTAAAAGCACCAGAAGTACCACCACAGAGAGCACATTCTGCAACAATATAAGGCTTCTCCCAGAAATTGATAGCAGATGCCCCAGAGCTTCTAGATGACAAATCTTCACATAACTCACAGTACCATGGACCTGTTGTTTCTTTAACACTACGATAGCAATCCAAGTGAACTGAAACCTGCAACAGAAAACGTTTATTATGGCACATCAATCAGAGAAACAAATACATGAAAAGAGACCAGGTCTGAGTCCTAAAACCTTGCAACCAGAGCAGACTAGGATAGGGTTTAATATAGTCTCTGATCGTCTGCAAATATCACATGATTTAAATTGTTCCTTAGAAAAATCTGATGATGGCATGCAAAAATCCGAATATTTCTCTGAGGAAGTTCTTGTCACAGCTACTCTTGAAAGTGTCTCTTTGGCTCGAGGCATTGGCTGAGAACAAGCACCAGTCCTTCCATTTAGAGCATCCAATTTTAACAGATTCTGAAAAATATCATATTCTGTTGTCAATATAATTAGTCAATTATTGTTGGGGGGGGAGAGAGAAAACAAAGCATCAATGACCTCTTGTTGCAAGGATTCATCTAAGGTGTCTTTCCGGAAAGCCCTGGTAGATGCTGCTGCAGCAGCAGTTGCAGCAGCCAACACAGCCTGTGCTTCCTTGTGCTTTCTTTCTTTTCGGCCCTGTTTTTTTGCCTCTCTAAGATCGCGTAGATATTGATTAACAATGACATCATCCCATCTTCGTTGATGTGCCTTATCAATCTCTAGTGGCAAACTCTTAGCAACACTGTGGATTAAGTTATCTGCAATTACAAAATCAATAACAATAAACAATTGCTCCATGTTTTAACAAAGGGATTCAATGAGAATTTAGGAAAGAATGAGGACACACCAATATGCCTCTTTTTTGCAACTGCATTCTGCAATAATCTATACTGAAAATAAACAAGTTCCCCCTCCAATTCATCTTGTGGAGAAAATTCCAAAAGTCCCATTTTTCTAGCCCTAACCAATTGCTCCATATTAACTTCATCAGGCTTTGAAATGTCAATGCAAGTTAAGTTCTGGTTTTGGCTACTTGAGCTGCCACTAGCCCCTAAGGGCTGAACCAAAGAAGAATTTCCCTCATCACTTGAACTTGAACCTGCTGAGAGAGGAATTTATTAGACTATTCCAAAGAATTAAAGAAAACACTAAGGAGCCCTTTGAAATGTGGTCATTCTAATTTTCTTAACACAAACCTATCTATTTTATACTTAGGAATAATACCATCCCGAAATTGGTTTTGACATATACTTTGAAAATTGGAATTATCACATATTCTACTCAAATATTATATAAACAGATTTATACATACTCAGGAAATTAGAACGACCATACCAAATATGTCTTAAAAATATTCAAATTTCAAATATAACTCACATATAATGTCATCCAAGGGCACCCCATCACGAATCTGCATCAATTTCTTGTTGATGTATGGATGAATGTAACTAGAGATTGCATCCTTCTTTCTGCATTTCAAATAAATGACACTTGGCTTTAAAGGAGAATACAACCTACGTAAGTCACATCAAAGGATGTCTACTAACACATAATAAGAGACAGAAAGCAGTACATGAAGCAAATAACAAAAATATCCACTTTGAAAAGCTCACATGAAACCAGAATCAGGTGGTTCTGAAGCAGAATGAACAAGACAATGCTGATCAGAAACCATAGAAGCATTTTCCAAACAAGCAGTAGACTTGTCTTCTGAGACATGTCCAGAAAAGCAGGTTTTGTAAGGTTTATCAGCCTTGCCTGCATAATGAATCTACACACTTCAAAAAACACATTGACAATAACTCAATATAGGAATAAATGATGCCATAAACACTTCATAGAAGTAGCTCAGACACATTTACAGTTAAAAGAAATTTTTCATCCATAAAAAAAAAAATACATATATATGCTCATTCATTTAAAAGAGAGAGAATAGACGGGGGAAGGAATTTTTGAAAGAAATTGCCATATACTATTTGAATTCTTAAAAAGACAGTTTTAAATTGAAGCCGTACCTTGAACTTCATGAGAAATATCCTCAGACTTGGTTAAGTTCTGCATAAAATAAAATTGAGTTAAACAAAATGATTTTTTTTTTCCAATTCTGATTTTTATGGATCAGACGGAAAAGGGAAGCCCTAAAATATATGTAAATACACAATCAAATTTTTTTATCAAACTTGGCTGACAAAAGTATTTAAACAAGGGGGAATCAGTGGATTGAAACTATTCTTTTGACCATTCCATTTCTTTCATCAACAAGTTACCAAACAGGTAAAAATAAATAAAACTCCATTTCATCAAAACTATCTAAAATATCCAAACAGATGGCCTTATTATGGAAGCATATTTTGTCATCTGCTTATTTCATAATATTTTTCTTCATTGATATAGTTTCTTTTTTATTCACTGCCCATGTCCTTGTATCACAATGTCCGATTAGAATTTGCAAAACACATTCTAAGATGCTTAAGCCCTGAAATAATATAAATGTGAAGTTCATCAACCCAAATCATTCAAATTTACAATCAAATCACCATACAATGTCATAAAGAGTATTTCACTAGTCAGGCAAATCAACATTCTTGGAAGTAGACAGGTCATGAAAGAGGGGAACCAACAGAAAACAGAAGAAAAGCAGGCTTCTACAGAACTTAGTAACTGAACCTTTAACAGATTAATCATCTCTGACATTTCACAACACTGCTTTTCCAGTTAAGCATTACACTTCAGTTCACACACAAGTACTAAACCCATAAATGAATTACAAAAAACAGGTGTTGATATGATAATATATATAACTCATGTAGTGGAGAAGAATAAAATCTATATTAAAATCGAAGAATGTGACTTCAAGGATACCATTTTAAAAATTTAAAATGTGACCCCACTGATAGAAATTGCATCAAAATTATAAAAAGAAACAAGAACAAAGCTGGATTCTCCCAAACAATCTAGAGTTCCTCTCAAATCACAAGATAAAACCTCCCTCTCAACCCCCTTTGTTATTATAGGGAACATGCCTTATTTCACAAACTATCAAAATATTTTGTATTAGAGTAATATTCAATTACTTAAAGAATCAAAGGGAAATGAATTCTAGAAATATAATTACCATTTCAGTTGCATTGGGAATGGATGTTTCATTGGCACTCACTGAATTGTCACAGTCAGACTGACCTACTCGGCAAATGTCCACTGGCACCCCATTCTCACAAGTAACCCCCTCAGATGAACCTAGCACTTTATTATCCTTCAAAATCCTAATGTTACTGATGGTTCTTCTCCTTGGTGGAACAGACTTAACAGCAACAGGATCCAGCAAACCCGAATCTGATATTGGTAAAGTATCAGAACCATCTGTGGCTGCACTATCATTTTTGGATGCATTGGCTGGTTTGAATTTGACTTTTAAACCTTTCTGAAATGCACCAGTATACACATGGGCTTTTAGCCAATTGACTATTTTTTGTTGCACATCAGGGGCCATATATGCTTCCTGCAAGGATAAAGTTTGGGACATAAAACTAAGAAACAAATACTATACTAAGAATAATAATTTTCCACAAAGAGCAGATGACAAATTTCAAAGCATTACATTGTTATTTGCAGTTAATGTATCAGGTGAAATGCCAATCTCCAATGCTACATCTTTTGCATCAACTTTTCCTCGATCAATCAACTGCCAAAAAGAGAAGGACAATTTAAAACAAGCAGAGAATTTACAAAAATTGTAGTTCCATCCAAAACAAATACACACATGGATATACTTATAATGCAGAATACCTTCTTCAAAACAAGTGCAAAACCGAGAGAGTCAGATGCACCAACATTCTGGTGGTTAAACTGCATGTCATGACCACTTAACCTGCAATCAGATAATCCTCCATCTGGTGGTTCATCATTATGATTCAATTTGTCGGGACTACTATTGGAGGCTAATTCTCCATTCCTGCGATCTTTCAAGTTGTTTTCACCACTCACTGGGAATGTCTCTGGACAACCATTGGCTTCTGAAAATTCATTTCTAACCGTGATAGAGCCTTCCAATGGCAAGACGCTTCTGTTCTCTGGTAGATCTGAGTGTTTCACACAAAAAGCCCTCAACTCAACCTGACAAAGCATGACATGTGACAATCAATTTCTGTAGCACTACAGTTGAAACACGTGATTGAAAAACAGGGGCTATTGGCAAAATAAGATCTGTTCTGATATTGATATTCAACATCTTATTTAACCTTTTTTTTTTACTTTCTTCCTCAAAAGGGAAGAAAACAGATCACTCACATTATCATTACCATACTTTGCCCAAACCTCCATTCTATGGCTAGCTTCCCTTGCACATAAAGGGTGGAAAGAAGTTCTGCAGCTTCCTGAAAACACCACACAGAAGAAATGACTTGCAAGTTACAAAAAAAAATTCAGGAGCATAAAATAGTTAGGAATACAAACTTACAAATACAATACAACTAATAGTCTAATATTCTAATACATAATCAAAAGGAGACATGGATCAAATATTTACTATTTAGAAACAGTAGCAGCAGACATCACATAAATGGTATGGCAGTACCACAAAACCATAAAAAACATGACATTTAAAAACAACAAAAGTCTTATCCCAGTAAGATTGGCTACATGCACAGCATGATGCCATTGGGCTGAATTAAAGATTCTCAAAGATATTATTCCCCATGAAATCCCTCTTAATATTGCCTCCAACATTCTTCTTAGTCTCCCTCTATCCCTTTTCACCCAGCTAAAAATTATGCAATCTACTTTCCACACCTGTGGTCTCATTATCATAGACAGTCTCAAACCAGGGTAAAGGAGGAGGGCTGTGTTAGGGTCATGGCAACCAACATAAAACTTGTCAAAATCCCAAACAGATCATTCATGACACCTAAAACTAAACATTTAAAGAGAGGAAAAAAAAGTGAAAAGCTGCATATTCATGTTCCCTATTCAGATAATACTATTTTAACAAGAAAGAATCCCAAAGCCATATCACAATAGATCAAAGGATCAACTTATAGAACACCTGTCTGCAGTAGTTTTAATGCCTAATCACCCATCTTTCAAGAACAAAACTAGTAGGCTCCCATGGTTTATATATATGGGTTGATTTTATATGGTTTAATACTACATAGTTGATTTTATATGGGTTTTTTGTCACAAGCAGTGATTGAGACTTGTACCTATTCAAAATCAAAGTTGAACAGTCATTAAACTTCCTCACCAGAAAATACTGAGATTATTAATGCTCTATCTTGCCACAGAACAAGAAAGTATAAACAGGTAGGTAAAAAAAAAAAAAAAAATCTGAGTCTGCTGAAGCTGAAGATGTGTCTTTTTAAATAGAGAAAATTTCATTATCTTATTTTTTTTTGTAGAGAAAATGCACTACAAATTTAGTATGACCCACCTTCAGCCTTCCTATAACAGGAAATTGAAAACAAGAATATGGCAAGGGGGAACACATACTTAACGATATGACGAGCGTTCTTGTCTGCCCAAAGATTGATTTAAAATGCAGACAGACATGCACAAAAAGTTAACAAGAAACAGAACTAGGAGCTACCTGGGAATAAAAGCAATTTCACAAGCATCTAATTTCCAATCTAGATTAAAAAACAGTGCAATGTCCAATTTCATAAACAGAGGTCAATTGAATATCACCGGAAGCAGAGTTAACCCTCCCCCACCACCCCCCCCCCCCAAACCCCCAAAACAAAAACCCCACCC